GTTATGCATGTTTAAGATGTAAAGTCCATCTTAGTGATTCAAAGACCCATTATGTGGTTTGGTTAGATAGAATACAAAATACTGATATCCTTCTTCATTAAATAAGTTACTTCAGCCTGTTTCTAGAAATATATATATTTCTGAGAATCATTGAATAAGAAATGGCTGATAAATTTTGCTAAAGTATTTCAGTCATTTCACTCAAGAGTAATTCACTAGCAAAATCATGTATCTTTCATTTCATACTAGGTTCGAGTGCCTCAGTGAATATCAACTCTTGGATGCAAGTACATTCAACTGCCGAGTTCCAAATAGAACGAAACGAGCGTCTTGGATTCCACTGCTAGCTACTATCCATCTTTGTTTAAAAAACTTGTGACTTAAGGCTATATCGAGACAATCCGCACAGGATGCACATATGCCAAAAAGAGACTAGTCAATTGCAGTTCTAAATAAAAATGAGCACATACAAGTAAAACAACATTAAGTTAATTTTTTTCATTAAAAATTTGGAACGATGCGAATTTAGGATTTATTTTGGTACATATTTCACAGAAAATTATTTAAGCATAAATTATCAGATTTACTAAACTACCACGTCTTCTGTTTAAAGTAACTTAAGTCTTTTGAAAAATGTATTCAGTTCAGCATTCTTAGTGAACTCAAATGATAAACTCAATATTTATTTAAAATTAAACGTAAGTGAACGATGTACAACTGGATCAAACATGTTCCTTAATTTAACATGAATGCCGATTATTCATTATAAATTCTTTTACTAGAATTAAAGTAATCGTAGAATACATGCATGTATATTTATACATTTATATATACACCACAAACTATCTTACTACTGTTCTGCCTTCGAAGACGCCAAATCAGATGTCCAAATTCTTAGATTTCATCAACATCAAACAAGTATAAATGAATCACTGTATAAATATTCATTAAACACTCAATAACCATGCAGATTTGTATTTAGTATATATATAGTCTGTTTTGTATTTTCTAGTTATGATTTTATCTACTAAAATGGTTATAGATCTAAACACTAATCGGATAGATTATTGTCATGTCAGTTTTTTAATGTGTAGATGTACTTCCAAAAACAGTGCTACGAAGGTACTTTGTCTTTTATTGCGTCTACAAGATATATACATTTTTTGTTTTCATTTTCAATCCCAAATAAATGGACAATTAATAATATGATCTCGTTGAATTTTATATACCTGAGTTTTTTTTAAATTCTACTAGTTGTGTCTATGACATCAGTGTTTGATCACTAAATCGGATGTATGAACTATAATTCATTCATTACTTTTCTGGTGACTGGTAATACTTCATTTCTCATCAGGTTTATAATAAGCTAATCCACAATTTATCCTAAGAGATTTGATTGAGAGTTCCACTGTATAGGTTTTAAATATACCATAAAATTTTTTACTTGAGCTAAATGATCATTATTAATCACCATCACATAGAATGACATTTCCAAACGCTTATAAAGAATTGATATTTATTCATCTTGTTATTTATCTAAGTACTTTATTACGCTTATGGAATCCCTTATTCTCTGTGAATAAACTGTTTTCAAAATAAACAACTAGAATAAGAACTATGTTCATCACTTTATCTTTGTTCATTATCATCTTATCAATAAAAACACCGCTTTGAATTTATACAGATTGATTAGTTTTATTTATATCATGCGAACTGTTAGCTGGAGTATATGTCTATCACTAATTTCATTTATTATTTATTATTTCACGGTTTTTACGCTTTCATTTTTACTATCTAGAAACTTCTTAATCAAATTTAGCCCCCAAATGCCCTGGTACGACCGAGAGTGGAGAGAGTCAGCTTTCCCTCTCGAAATGCTCTCAAATGGCCGAGAGCATACAGCAACTTACAGGCAAGTCCTACTAACTGTCTTCTCGCGGCATTACTGTCGTTTAAGAAATTGAGAGGACGAAGAGCGAATCTTTGGCGCTTTAACCGGGTTGGTGGAAATGGAGAGTCCACCTAGGAGAGTTGGAAAACCCTGATTACAAACCAATGGTCCACATTAGCTCCAGGATCCTGAAGAAACAAATGGCGCAAGAACGAATCTTTAGTCATCGTCTACCATAGGACTGCATCTCCTGACGTTGCTCCACTGCCTTAAGGATCAGACCGTTAGGTTGAAGGCTCCGGGTATGGCCTCCTAAGAAAACGACTTGCTTCGGTCTGGGCACCCGGGCAGTATCCCAACCCTCACACAAATCGATTGGTTTATGTGGCACATATTTATTTGGTGCCTCCTTGTACCAATGTTTGTGTGTTTAAATAATAATAATACAACGATTGCGCTATCAAGGTTATTGAAATTAAAACGATTATACTTAGGAGACTGTTGGTTGAGTACAACAATATTAGTGAATAACGCCATCTAATAATCTAAATTATTTTTATTATCCCTAAAATTTTACATTAACTTTATTAAAATCAATGGGAAGTAGTTGTATAATCTCTTTGATATTTTTGTTATAAAATCTTATTTAGATAGAATACCCTTTGAAATCCTATTTCATTTGATTGAAGTAGTTTGAACAAAACATTTTTTTTTAATCTAAGGGAAAAAAAAGAGAACAATTAAAAGAATAATAACAGACCTTATCGATTTGATACAGTAATTATATAGTAAGCAAATAAGATGAGACTGATTGAGTAGGCAGACTAAAGAATTCTCAAGGTCATTTGAAAGCTTCTATTCCTATCTTATTCAGTATATATATATATATATATATATATATATATATATATATATATATCAATAATTTTGAATTGGATCAACTAAAATGAATGCAAGCAAATGTGAACATGATCTGCTTTTTAAACATCAACATTTTGTCTTGTATATTTAAACAATATCACTTTGTAGAATTATTAACTTATTTATCTAATGACAATAATTAAAATAATTTAGCACTGGATATTATTGTAAATAATCTTAAGATATCTATGTTCCTAAATAAATCTTATATTTCACTGATTGAAATCATGAGTCAATTGTAACTAGACAACCATGAAAAACCTGGAAGCACTGGACGGCCGTTTCTTTCTAGTATGGGATTCCTCAGCAGTGCGCATCCACGATCCCGCACCCCGTGATATCCGAACCCAGGACCTATCAGTCTCGCGCCAGGCGCTGAGGAGTCCCATACTAGGACGAAACGGCCGTTCAGTGCTTCCAGGTTTCCCACGGTGGTCTAGTCTCAATTGACTCATGATTTCAATCAGTGAAATTTCTAAAATCTCCACAAAACCCCTTCTGAGAATCTTATATTTGTGTATGATTTGTACTGATAAGGGAAAAAAACTATCTCAACGAATTTTTTTTCAAATATTTTATCGTTTGATGTTACATCAGCTTAACTTTTTATATAACTTAAAAATCTTTAGATGTTAAGTTGAATGTTCATTATTGTGTTTGAGTTTAAAATGTTGATACCGACTAATAAATCAATAAAGTAACAATATTGATTTATTCCAAAACTACAAGGTTTCAAATGTTCAGTGTTATTTAGCTTGTCTAGGTTGTTCAACTGTTATAAGTTTACAAACACAAGAAATATAATACCGAAAAATGTGTTATTCACATTTTATCTTGTTTATGAATCATTAATTTTAATAGACTAGAAGATCTACTGTCTTTGATGAGTGTTAACATTGATTGGTTCAGTTTCACCATTCATAATCTAAATCTATGCTTATAATAAACGTCATTTGTATGGAATTATGTAACACATAATCCTTAAATACGGAATTTGTCAATGATAATAATAATAATAATAGTAATAATAGAAAATCCCATTATAACACAACCAATGAAAGAACTGTGATCTTTTAAATTCTTTAAACATTATTTTTTGGGGTTAACCAACAACTGTCACACAACAAGCACTAATGTGTTTATTAAAAAATATATACATAAGAGTTGTTACAGTATTCATTCATGGTAATCTTATGTATTCCTGAATTATCACTAGTCGGTAAACTTATTATTCACAGATGGTTAACACTTTATATGCAAATTAAAACAATATTAACCTATAACTTCAACTTTCACAGTTAGAGATGATGTATGAAAAACATTTTGTCAATAAATTTTCCTACTACATAAAAAACCAGAAGCAGTTTGGCTTATAATTATCCTTATACAAAAGTGAGCGCTCACATACATCAAATTTACCTGACAGCATATTGAAGAAATTTGTTTCAGAAAGGGGTGTTTTGTGGAAATTGTAGTAATTTAATAGTTGAGTTCATGAGTTAATCAAACCTAGACCACCATGGAAAACCCCATACTAGGATGAAATGGCCGTCCAGTGCTTCCAGGTTTTCCATGGTGGTTTAACTTTAATTGACTCATGAACTCAACTACATTTGTTTCAGTTTAATATAGTAGTTTCATAGTAAGGTGGATTAAAATTAGGTGTGAAAATCAGTATTTTATCTGTTCATCAGTGACTGATCTACAAATACACTAATCCTACAAACAAAATAAGCTTTAAAATAAATCTTTAATAAGATTTATCTTAATGTACGTTATTTCGTATAGAAGTCTATTTGTCTTCCCGAAAATAAATCAAATTAGCTGATTTGTTAATTGTTTTTCTGAAGTCCATCCATTATTTACCTTCACAATAATGGATACCCATTTCGTAACTAGTGGTCATTCAGCAAAGATTAGTATAAATTAATACTGATCAATACTCATTCACTAATATAACTATACTATGTAATTCTGTGTTATATTTCATACAGTAAAGGTTCATGAAATGTAACTACATTGAATTCTATCCATTCATTGTCATCTTTGAGGAAATATCAAGTTCACGGAATTTTAAAAGACTTACTTGTCTCTTTCAAAAAAAAAATGTTATTTCAGATCATAAAAGTTAATATATGAATTAGTTAAACGTCTATTCCAATCTAATATATACAGTTAATTAACTTACCTTGACCTTTAGTTTTAATTGGTCCTAATTCAAGTGCAGGACCCATTCCTTCTGATCCAACAGCAGTTATTCTAATACGATATGTAGTACGTGATAAAAGGCCGTGAATAATATATTCATAAATTTGTTGCATAGGATATAAATAATTAATGGATATTTTTTTTTGTTCCCAATCTGTAAATGGAAATGCTGACCATTGAACTAAATAATGTAAAACTTTAGATGGATTTTCAGTTCTTGTCAAAGTATTACTTAATCGACTTAGATATTGTGACATATTAATATGATCTAAAACTCCATGTGGTGCCAACCAACGAATACGTATACTGAATGAATCCAAAATACTTAGTTCGTGTAGAATGGGTGGTCCGGGAACTGAATGGAATTAAAAATGAAATATAATAATTTGAAGAGTATAAATCAGTCATTTCTGATTTAAAAAAAACTACTTCCTAAATAACAATCTTATCTTTTAGAAAATGAATGATATGCTATGGTACTATATGAACTATTTCCGAAGAAATCATTACATCACCAACTTGAAAAATAATTGTATCATTACAGTTTAACGAATGTCATCTATATTACATCTTTTCCTACTTAAACTAAGAGTTTGACATGAACAAATTCTTCATCGGCAAGCAGAATCGGTTTACAGCCATCAATGGAATCCAGGATACAAGTTTCGACTGAATAAACATACAGTCCGATGTTGGTGTTGAATCGATTGGTGTGAACGATAAGGAGTAAAATTGACCAGCAATATCAGAAGTGTAACTGGAAACAAATTATTGATAAATAACATATTGAAAAACTGGATATTTAGGGAGCAATGAACAACACATGTTGCCGAGTCACTGGCATCGGTTTTGAACCATGTAATTAAGAATCTCCAACCATCGGTTATGATGAGCTTGTCAACTACAATCGGAAACTCTACACTAATTGACAACACTTGAACCAGCAGTCAACAAATTCGTGAAGTAATATAATTTCTTGGTGTTGGACCTTATGACATTTAGCAACATACTTTACTATCCATCACAGCTTGTACCGTTACTTCCAGGCGTCTTATGGATAACACACATCTCCGCCATATGGATTATAGAAGTATCAGAAATTCTTCACGCATTTCAATGGGTCCGGATTGTTAAATCGAAGTACGATGTACTTCATAATGCCCCATCTGCTTTTGCAATGTATTTTGACTTTCTCGGACAACTGGTAATTTTCACAGACAACTGTGTCGTCCATAAAGTTCACAATGATTATATGTACTGAGAATTTTTTCCGTAACTAAACATGTACTGAATGAAGCGAGTGTTATTCTAATTTTAGTGACTGCTCTCTGAGAGAAACTCATTTAAAATGAATCAGCTGAATGATTGGCGTGTGCAAGACATCTTTTAAATGGATGATCACAAATACAGTAGCTGAATCCTAGTAATATCAACAACTTTTCATCAACAGTAATTCTTTTAGAATATGTTTGTTATGTGAGAAAGGATTCGGAAGAAAAAGTGTAAACAACAAAGCTGTACATTAGTGTGCTAAACAAAATACCAAGTAAAGAATTAGTCTAAGGTATTTCAATTCTTCTCACTGTTAAACAGTAATGCACTCATTCAAAATAATGATAAAAGTATCTAGTAGTCATATATTCCGAAAGCCTAATCCATATCTGTGCACGTCTATTATAACCCATAGTAAAAGTGTAGAATCAGATTAAAACGAAATAGGATGAATGATTTTTTTAAGCTAACGATACTGTAGGTCTGTTTCTAATAACAAGAACTATAAAAGAAAGATACTTGATATTGAGCGGTTATAGTGAAATTAATTTAGATTATATTCGTAATAAACTACTTTATTTTATCCTTTAATATGAAAATACTCTTCTAATAGTTCCACCCACTACTGAAATAAAACGTTTTATTCGAAGTTGATGTTAGAAACCAATCATATTTAAAGTATTCTATACTTATAAAAAAACGTATTCAATGTCTTTGTGAAATAATTTCACATTTTTACTGCGTGGGTTACCAAATCTAAGTTTATAAGAAGTAGCCATATATAAATTTCAAGACACATATTTTGGAAATGAACTTAGTTTATTTATTAATAGTCATTCTAACGAATCAGTGAAAAGGTTAAATGGAATTTGTTTATGTTAACATTTCATTTTCAATGAAATGTTGTACCTGAATTGAGCGCAATAATTATTTACTGTCTTTTTCCCCTTCCCCCCTCTAACATTGTATGTAGTAATATAATATGTTGAGTAACCTGAGGATGACCTTCACTGTTACTATCGTTAAGGAATGTGGAATGTGAATAATATATAATTGTATTCAGATGCTTATTAAACGCATTCATCTACAATACTTTTTTTTATTTGGATTAACACTAAAGGTCATTCTCTAAGGGAAACATCCTGTTTATTGCTTTTTCTTCTAACTTGTGAAAACGTTTCACTTATTTGTTTATGTAATCATAAGTAAGTTTGTAAACGAAAAAAAATATAAGTAGTACTGTGTAGATGTATAGATTGATGATTAAATAATAAGTCGACCATATGTATATATCATGCTTAAAATTCTTCCATGTGAATATAAAATAATTAATGGGCAACAAACAAACAAACAAAATATATGGTGTATATACGGAGACTGTTAATAATTGAATCAACATAATTATATATTTCTTTTTTTATTTGTATCCAATAGTTTAATTTCTATTCCATTGTTGATTAATCGAATGAACTACATTTCACCCTCATGAATGCTATGAATTGATTATTTGGTAATTGTTTGTGATTTTATAACGTTATTGAAACATGGAAATTTAGATGGTGGTTGGAGGTAGTCGACAGGAAACCCTGGACCCGGGTTTTGTGTTACTTGGCACTCATCAGCAAGGTGTACCTGTAATCTTGAGGGAACTGGTGCTCCCTGGCGGATTCGATCTCGTGTCACCCAGCTTCACAGTCAGAGACGTTACCACTGAGCTATCCTGTCGACTACCTCCAACCACCATCTAAATCTCAATACATAGTGCCCACAGTGTCGAGTCACTTAGACTGGTGGCCGCATTGCAACATGATCGATAGCATTCGATCTGCACTAATAAGGACTAGACACGCATGACATTGTTCACCACCCAGTGATCAATCAATTGTGAAACATAGAAATTGTTCGTTAAAATTTTTTAAATTGAGTTATTCACATTTATTGATAAATTTTAACAAATGTTATCGAACTTACTATCATTTATTGCATTATAATCTGAGAGGGGTTTTGTGGATATTATAGTAAGTTAATAGATGAATTCATGAATCAATTGATGCTAGACCATCATGGGAAACCTGAAAGCACTGGACGGCCGTTGGATACCGGCTAAGTGGTGTGGAGGTTAAGCGTTCGCGCGTGAGACTGATAATTCCTGGGTTCGAATCTCGCAGGGCTGGATCTGAGAAGTCCCACAGTAGAACGAAACGGCCATCCAGTGCTTCTAGGTTTTCCATGTCGGTCTACTTTCAGTTGACTCATGAATTCATCTATTAAATTTATTGTATGGTTTCAAGATGGGTATTTGTATAATCAAACTCAAAATGTAACTTGAGTTGATAATTATACAGTGAATAGTTTTCATTTGTTGAAAATAAACGTGTCTTATAGACAGAGTTTTTTTAAGTTGTAAATATCACTCTTAACGAGGAAGATATTGTCCCACTTGATATTCTTCTTATTCAGTCTCTTTATTACCTTATATGAAATTAATTCTTTCAAAAGTGATGGTCTGTTAAATATTCTTTGTTGGTTCAATAATTCCAAGAGAAAGACTTGAGGTTATGTATTTTGAAAGTTATATGGCCAGACAAACATATATTAAATAGTAATGTTGCTGTTGAATTGTGACTAGTAGTAAAGTCCAGTACCTATCACATCAAAAGTCAATGGATCATTCAAAAAGCCGATCAGTCCTAATTAGCAGATATTAATCCTTGCTATTTAGTTTTAGCTATAGTTTCCAGCTAATAGATTCTAAATAGGATGAAATTCCTGTTTTGGATTGTAAGACAATCTATCTGATATCACTCACATTCTTTAACATTCTGTAACCGTCATAGTCCAATAGACTAGTCATCCCGATAGAGCTTCAAAAGATAGTTATCTGATTGTAGAGCTTTGTATTTTGTTTTTAAATAATTGAAGTAGAATCATTTTTCAGAAGACTCCTGATATACCTTGTTGATAGGTAGGAGCTAGTTGGAGAAAAAGATCCATCTAATATCTCATAGTTGACAAACACCAATGACTAGTAACCATATTAGAAAGTAACACGACTAACTTTTTTTAGTTTCTTGAATCTCAAATAATACAAAAAAGCAAATAGTGCACATAATTCTCGATGTTGACTACTTTGACTAATAAACACTAGTCAGTGATTAGGTTTGGCATAACAGTTAAATAAGTCTCTTTACTGATTGAAAACCAAGTAACCAATGGCACAAGACTATGCATGACTTGTTGTTAAATAGTAAAAAGATGTTCATTATTATCACAAGTAATCGACGATAATGTCATGTGAACGCGAAATCCTTAGATCTTATATATGATTATGTTTATCAGTTATACTATAGTTATAAATTTGACTTACATTTTAATGATCTTCTATCATTGTAGACTTAGACTAAATTTTGAACGTGCTTAACGAATTTTGTGACCATAAAATTAAAATAATTGAGTAAATCATTTTTATCGTTAGTTAATTAAAAGCATAAAATTTAATTACTTGTCTTAGTACTTCAATTACATCTAAAGTATGTTTATTTATCATCCTAATACAACACAATAAACTAAACTGAGCCTTAAAGATTTACAGTAAATTCCTTCAGTCCTGATTAAAATTGAGACTGAAAGCTTTAATGTTTAAAGTGTATTTAAAATTTAAATTATTAACATAGCTCAATCACTGAATATGTATTGACAGAATCTTAACTTTCAAGAGCAATTTGTCTAACCCTAAAAATTTTCATCTCCATGAATTTGTATTCGGTAAATAATCGTTGGTCGTATGATGTTAGAAGAAAAGGAAGAAACCAGGTAAATTCAGCTGATGAGTCTTAAATTTGACAAAACCTGCATCCTTGATCCCAATGTTAGCCACCATCCAACTAGGCTTATAATGCTTATAACAACATTAAGGCAATTTGAACGGAATACACATTTACAAAACAGACTGATAGATTTCAGTTCTACGCACCAATGGGAAGTTTCAAACGATGAATACAAATCAATTAGAAACAAACGTTTGTTTAGTTCGGTTACACATTAAAAAACAGTTAAGTGTTTTTACTTTCCTTAAAATATCAGATAATTTTATAAAAATCGCGTTCACTAACAAAACTCATATAATCTATTTAACATTAGTCGATTAGTCTTACAAAAATAATATTGTGGTGTATGCTACTAATGTCAGCGGATATAAGTAGTATGTTACACTAATCAAAAGTGAAAACTTTGGTAGCATAAGGCTAATAGAAAACAAAAACGAAATTAGAAAACAATTGTAAATCGTAAGAATCATGCAGAATGTGAAAGACAAATGATGGAAATTCGCAAATGAATTACCAAGATACTCTGTAATTCTGTATATTAAAATATATTGGTTGTCCACCACCTGTGTTTTCATTCCTTACAATATCAATTGTTGAAATTAAAATTCATAAATAATTTAACACTTACCATTACTATCAGTTTGCACCATGATTTCTGCTGCAATCCCTGTGCCATATTTTGTACGAGCAGCTAAAGAAATGTGATAAGTTGAATTTGGAATTAAATTTTCCATTAAATATTCAGTTAAATCAGCTGACAACTTGACCTCCATTGGTTGTTGTTGTTTACTTTTATCGATATTCATGTCAACAGCTATACGATATTTCAATAAATAATCTTGTAAACTAATCTTTCCAGGTAAATTAGGTGCTATCCAATTAAGATGTATTTCTTTTGGATTAAAGCTTAAACCGGTAAATTCACGAGGTTGGGAAGGAACTGATTTAGCATTAATTTAAAGCAATAATTGAAAAAAAAGGAAAATAATAAACATGTTAACAAGTAACAAATACAATACTAATATTTATTATAAACATTTTATGTTATTATTATGCTTAGAAACATAATAACCTATTGAATTGAATAGATTTGTATATTCTAAAATGTAGTTTGTACATGTTAACCTTTCTCAATTAATTGTTGTTTCTTATTCATTTCAAACGAATTCAATGATTTGATGATGGTTTCATGCTTTCTAATCAGTTCATATAATGTGAAACAATCCGTTACAATGTGAGTTTAACTGTTAAAAAAATCATTTACGGAATGTGTGGCTGTTAATTCATAGAAAATATAAGGAGAAAGAAATGACCAATTATGATTCAAAAGGTTTGATAGGGGAAAATTAGTGGTGTAATAAAAGTTTTCCCTAGGTTACATCGATCAGAGTTGTTTTTAAACTATTGCATGCATATCATAGGGAAAACGATAGATCAATATAGAGGTTAGAGATGGGGTATTAAGGAAAAAATTGTGAATCATTGATTGAGTGAACTGAAACTTATTTTACGTGTGTTTAACTACAAACCACCTCAAAATACAATATTGTTTGGAGTAGGAATAGGTTAGGAAATAAGCAGATAATGCTTAACAAAGATGTTGCTTCAGTTCGTTAAACCATTGTTTTACTAGATAAGGACTGCCCCACAGATCCTTAAAGTGATCAAAATCAGTTATTTCAAGAGTTGGGTGACATATCTTAAAACGTCTCAATTCTTAATCTTACTTCCACTATTCCTCCGTACGTACCTGTTTTTCATTTTTTCTCAGTTTTCAATCTTTACAACTGCCTCTGATACTACTGTTATTCTGACTGATTTTTTTATAAACTTTGAAATTTTATCTCGTTATGTCTAATATGGTGTAAGAAATCAGGTAGATGCTCATTCGTGTTAATGCCTTCGTTGCTCATCATTTGTTTCAGTCATTTATTCTATAAAGATAACTTTACAATTCATTTATAATAGAGCTATGAAAAAATATATCAATTCATGAAAGGGTTAGAATGATGTTAGTCATAAGAATAGTTCAAGCAATATCTTATCGCATACACATAGCTCCCTCTATTATCTTAACCAGAGCAAGAACGAAGATTGCTGCAGAATAATATAAGTTCATCTTATTTTGTTAGGTTCTCATCAGCTGCTTTCAACCTAAAATATTTTTGAAAATCAACGTTATTACAGATATTGCCATAGTTATGCATACAAGAGTGATTAAAGATGAATATATGTATCATGATGTAGTAAAGATTCCAATAGAGTTAATGAAGTTATAAAAATTTTGTTTCGAATAAATAAAGTTTAGGAGGGAAAATTCCAGAACACTGAAATAGTGATGGTCTAACTTCAATTAAATCATGATCTCAACTGTTGAAATAGTTTATTTCTTCATTTAAAATCGAATTAAAACTGGTTAATGTAAAGTAAATTAAAATAAACGACCAGAAAAATATTTATGATAGAAAGAAATAATGGAAAAAAGAAAAACACGTATAAATTAATCATTTTTGTTTTTTTCTTTTTCTTCTTATTTCGTGACTGATTAACTTTCTTTTGTAAGTTAAATAAAAGAACTGGAGTGAAAAAAGACGAGAAAAACTCCATTGAAAATGTTTGTCTTAATTTTTTTAGCTTTACTTTTTTTTCTTCTTTTTGTCATAGAAACAAACTGTTTGTTAAAATCAAGAAAAAGTCGACTTGACGTACTTCGATTAGTTTTGTAAATTTTTTTCCCAGAAACTTGATTTTTATGAGGTAAAAAGAAAATAAAAGTAAAAACAATTTAATTAATGATCTTTAACTAGTTCTTATACGTTAGTGATGAGAAGCTTTGATGGATAAAGAAAATCTATATTGTCAATATGATCAAAGAGGATTTGATTTTGATTGAAATCATGAACCGATTGATGTTAAACTGCCTTTGGAAACCTGGAAGCACCGAACGGCCGTTTCGTCTTATTGTGGGACTCCTCAGCAGTGAGCATCTACGAGTTCGCTCGCGGGATTCAAAACCAGGGCCTTCAATCTCGCGCGCGAACTGTTAACCTACTGGACCACTGAGCCGGCATCCAATGGTGATAGTGTCTAACATCAACCAATCCACCAAATTGCGCGACCAACTTCCATTGTACTGAGGTAGATACATGTCTCTACCCGACACAGATTAGCTCCACTGGTCACGGCGAAACGACGTCCAGTGCTTCCAGGTTTCCAAAGAGGGTCTAACGTCAATTGGTTCACGATCTCAATCAAAAACTTAATAATCTCCACAACTCCTATACTAGTAGAATTTTTTTGTGACAAAGTCACGGATGCTCACTGTTGATAAATTTCCAAATAAGTTAAAATATCTATTTATAAATGCTTGGTTTCAGTAATTCATTAACTGAAATCACTCATTGATGAAAGCATTCTCAACATTAAACTAATCACCTCAGTTAACAAAATATTCGCTACTGATTAAACTTTAGGTAAACTATCGAATTTATTATAAATCTTCTTCAGCCATGTCAGGCTTGAGCCATAGTCCTATAAATGGTACTATATCAGAAGTAAATTTAAGTTGTGAGCGTGAAAAACAGAATTTTCACTGAATACTGATAAGATCATCTCAAAATATCAAAATAATGTATGGTAATCAATAATTCTCAGCATGGCCATCAGACAAATCAAGAGTGTCAAAGCAGCAGGACCGGACAACATCCCAGCAGAGGCACTAAAAGCAGACGTAGCGGCAACTGCAAGGATACTCCACATTCTCTTCAATAAGATTTGGGATGAGGAACAACTACCAACAGACTGGAAAGAAGGACTTCTGGTCAAAATACCAAAGAAAGGCGATCTCAGCAACTGTGATAACTACAGGGGCATCACTATTCTCTCAATACCGGGAAACGTCTTCAACAGGGTATTGTTAAACAGGATGAAGGACTGCGTAGACGCCCAACTTCGTGACCAACAGGCAGGATTCCGTAAGTATCGATCGTGTACAGACCAAATCGCAACTCTACGGATCATTGTGGAACAATCAATTGAATGGAATTCATCACTCTACATCAACTTCATTGGCTACGAAAAGGCATTTGATAGCGTGGATGGAACAACACTATGGAAGCTTCTTCGATACTACGGTGTGCCTCAGAAGACAGTCAATATCATACAGAATTCATATGATGGATTACACTGCGAAATTGTGCATGGAAAACAATTGACAAAGTCGTTCGAAGTGAAGACCGGTGTCAGGCAAGGTTTCTTACTCTCACCCTTTCTCTTTCTCCTAATGATCGACTGGATCATGAAGACGTCAACATCTGAAGGGAAACACGGGATACAATGGACATCTAGGATGCAGTTGGATGATCTAGACTTCGCAGACGATCTGGCCCTTCTATCCCAAATGCAACAACAAATGCAGGAGAAGACGAACAGTGTGGCAGCAGCTTCAGCAGCAATAGGTCTCAATATACACAAAGGGAAAAGCAAGATTCTCCGATACAACACAGAATGCACCAATCCAATCACAATTGACGGAGAATATTTGGAAGATGTAGAAACTTTTACGTATTTGGGCAGCATCATTGATGAACAGGGTGGATTTGATGCAGATGTGAAGGCGCGGATCGGCAGAGCAAGAGCCACATATTTACAAGTGAGGAACATCTGGAACTCAAAGTAACTGTCAACCAACACCAAGGTCAGGGTTTTCAATACAAATGTCAAGACAGTTCTACTGTATGGAGCAGAAACCCGGAGAACTACGAAAGTCATCATCCAGAAAAAACAGGTGTTTATTAACAGTTGTCTACGCAAAATACTCCAGGATATACCTCTTGAAGCCAGTCAATAGTGAGCATATGTTGATTAGTATCAGAAGGGGTTTTGTGGAGATTGTAGTAATTTGAGATCAGGAGTCAATTGCCATGGTTTTGTTGAGTTCATCAGTGTTATTGATTGATTGCATACAATTTTTTTAGAAAAAAACTTCTAGATGTACCTTACACGGTTTAGTTACCCTGATTATTCTTTTTCAGTAAGGATAACTTCTAATTTTAGAGTGTTCTATTAGTAGTCTGGTCATATGATGAAATCAATTAACACACGAATTAAATCTTTTGAAGCCAGATGAATATGTTATAGAAATAAAATTTAATTTCAAACTTCAAATATCAGTTCTATAGGAAATTTTCATTTTTCTGTGTTTATTTATATGATCTCACAAAATGTAAATAGATAGCCACAAACTATTGCAATTCTATCTTATTGCAACCCAGCTATTCCTATTGCTTGGTGGTCTTGGACACTAATTCATTCGACAAGTCCCCAAATCAGGACACAGTTGAACAAGAAAGAGATTATATTCCAAATAACAAGGGTAGGTGGAAGTAGGAAGCACAATAAGAAAATCGTTAGCATACTTATAGTTTTTACATGAGAAAACTCTAGAGTGTTCTCCAAGTATCGGCTAGCGCTGATTAGGTAAGAATTAGCCAATCAGAGTGTACCAACGCAAACATGCATGGAGCTCGCTTTAGTCCAATCTATGTCCCGCTAACACAAACTCTACAGCTAAAATATTTGATCTAGAATTTATTTGAATTGATGATAAAGTGGAATCAATCTTATGACATCAATTAAAGTTAGTGAGAAGGAGTGAATCTATCAGCTTTCACTATGAGACACCATGGTAAGCAATCGATTTTCAAAAAAAATTAAGTATACAATTTACACTGACTAATCAATGTTATAATTTTCGCCTTTGAGAAATAATCCAATTCTGAAACTCACGTAGTAATATCATCAAGTTTCCAATTGTACTGGGATCACCATCTTCCCTAGTATTGTAGTTAGGTATTAGTAAAGCGTACCAACTATCACGAAACGCTAGCTCTTGATCGTCATTAACCCCCTTACATTTAATATTTAACAACTGAACTATATACTGCATTTTACCTATTCCATTGCAAATGCAAGTGTGAAACAAGCCTACAAACGGCAAACTCACAATATTTCGCAATAAACCTTAGTCAACATGGTAACGGTATCGATCATTGGTTTCGAAATTATTCAGTGTGAGTAAAAGAATATCATGTAAGTTCTAGAATGTAGACAGTCAGTATATTTAAATGATAACCTTTTTTCTTTATTGTTAGTAGTATGCAAAAGTTTATGGGAATTCTTATCCCGTAATTTATCATCATCAAATCCTTGAAATCAAGAAATAATATTACATCGTTAACGCTTGAATGAATTACGCAAGGTTACATCAGAAGAAAAAATACAGTTAACGTCCTATTACTCATAGTTTTAAATTCAGCAGTCTGTGAAGTTAAGTTATTTCATAACTTATTCTCTGATAAAAATTGTTTTCATAGTAAAAAATGACTGATCATTTCCTGTTTGCTAAAATATCAGATTTTATATTTACCAACCTTTTTTATTTTGGAAATAAAATTCATACTACTAATAAGTAACTAATGTGAACTGGTAAAAATATCAGCTGTTTATATTTATAAACTTTATGCGCCTAAACAATGAACTTACTTCCAAACTTAACTAATACTTCGTATGGATCAGTCAAAGGACCATCACCAGCTGAATTCTGGGCGCTCACGCGAATGTGATAGGTTTCAGATGTGAACAATTTTTCTAGTTTGACACTTTCAAATTGTGTACCAACTTTTTGCCAGTGATCTAATGGAGCTTGTGGATTTCTGTTGTAGAAAACATTATAACCCTGTAACAAAAAACCAAGTCATTGAACTTACCATTGCATCTATAAAGTATTCAACGAGTACTGATTAATTCGAATGAAAGGGAAATAAAATTAGCAAGACTTTTTCTAGACAAACTGGAAAATGGAACGTTGAAATACATTCTAATAATCTAGATTATTACTGTCGATACATGAACGACACACTAATCGTGTGTGACAAACGTATCGGCAAACATAAGCTGTTGAACGGCTTCAATAACGTCTATTCAGCTAATAAATTCACCAGCTCAGAGGAGAACGAAAATAGTTTAGCTTTCCTTGATGTCTTACTTTCTAGAAGGACAGATGGTTCGATTAAAAGAAATGTATTTTTAGAAAGAATACATGGATAGTTCAGTGTACCTATTTTCATAGCTTTACATCTTTTCAATACGAAATACGTTTGGTTAAATTTTTCAATCAGAGAATCAAACTATTATGTCCTGAGGATAGTGTAGATAACAAAACAGATAAACTAATGAACATATTATGAAATAACGGGTATCCAGAAAATTTCATTAGGAGATTTCTACTTGAAGGTAAAAGAAGAAAACCATCTGACACGGTCAGTAAAAAAACTCTTTATCTCAAACTCGATAGAGGGCGTAACATTTCAACACGCTGACGCAAAAGATCTGTTGAAAAGACATGTCACGCCTCCAAGTTATATGTTGTCTGAACCAAACCAGTACTTACACAAAAATCAAGGATAGGTTACCGATGATGGGCTCCTCTATGTATGTAAACCAATTCAACTGCTTCTGCGGAGCTAATTACATAAGCCGTACTCAGAGAGCTTTATACTTGTTTACTCATAAACTTGTACCATCATGTTTGGGAAAAGGAGTCATTAAAACTATTAACAGTGCCATTCTTTCTCACTTGGTATATAGTAAACATCATATTAAAATGGATGAAGCTTCCTCTGTTTTGTATCAAGTTTCAAACAATCTACCTCAAGGAGCTACATTATGGCTCCTCTATGTAGCTGAAGTTACCTGGATCAACTCCAGAAAACCGGACTTATGAATCCAGAAGAGGTACTTCCAGCCTATATGTTTATTTTGGCCCACATCTCGATCACCAGAGAGCTATACTAGATGTTATAAACCTCTTATCCCCCTGCGTTTATATCTTTCTTAATTCACACATTCAACTTTACCAAACCATATGATTTTTTAAAAATCGTAATTACCTTGACAACACCTGTCTTATTATATATTACTTTCACATATTATTATTATTATTATCAATATTGTTACCTCAATTAGCAAAACAAATTTCTCCTACTATGCATTTTATTTACACAATTTATTATATTATATTGATCACGACTCAACACTTTTACAACAAATCATTCTGTCCTCTATTAAATGACCTTTCTAACTTGCAAATTGCACAATTTTGAAGTATTTATGTCGTAACAGATACAAACGTTCACCATTTTTAACATGCAACACTGTCAAATACATGAATGCATGCCTTGTTATGGCCTCTGTCAAATATCACAATAATTATGGACTTATAACTGTTCAAATATCCAATGTTTTTGAATACTCTATGGGGAGTTTTAAACTGCTCAAATTATTGTTATTAAATCTACTGAACAGTTACCTTGAATATTTAGTATTATTAATTTTTATATTGTGTTCGATATAGCACAGGATAAGTCACAAAATTGCATAGATTATTAATAGACTTTTATAATAACCATTAGTGATAATGTTTGTGATCATGGAACTAAATAAAAAACAAACGAGTCTGAAGGCATTTATCAGAAGTTACTTATGAATTTGAAAACAATATATTAGAGGAGTGAATTTTCATATAAACTTTCAATCTTCAATTTTACTGAATTTTAATTGCTGACAGTATGGAATGTAACATTGTTAAGTATGTCAAACGTAAATGTTTTTTTATCAGAAGGGGTTTTTGTGGATATTAAAGTAATTTAATAGTTGGTTTCATGAGTCAATTGAAGCTAGACAACCATGGAAAACCTGGAAGCACTGGACGACCGTTTCGTCCTACTGTGGGACTACTCAGCAGTGTACATCCACTATCCCGCCCCGTATGACTCGAACTCAGGTCCTATCGGTCTCGCCTAACCTCTAAACCACTGAGCCGGCATTCAACGATGTTACTGATTTTCTTAAGAGTCTAAGTGCATTCAGAGTTCAACAAGTTTTCCAGCGCTTCGTTTAAAACACATGATATTTTTTTCAAACGATTATAAATCAGATTTTTGTTATGAACATTTAGCTGGAGAGTTATGCAATCGAAACACTTTGGTTTGAAAATGAATCATTAGATGAAATTCAGACACTATAAAAAGTTTGTTACCAAGTATTACATTTCAAGTCATCAATAAGATATTTTTACTTTCATATACTGTACAACCCCATATACAAAATCTTAATAGTATAATGCAATTCAAAACAAACATATTCTATAAATATTGACAGTATGAAGTGTCCAGTAACAATTTTTATGCACTTTATTTCGAAAAATTACTTCACACCATAGATTTGTTAATAATCAAACATGATAGCTAAAGAGATTTGAATTAAATTACCTTTATATGCTAATGGATGATTTATCATCTGTTCACGCAAAATAATAAGCAGAATAAATAATGCAAACTTGAATTGCTTAAACGAAGAAATATAGTGCTGAGTGTTTTGCATTATTTGACAACAAGATAGTTTATTAAGTGAGCAATAGTAATAGAGTAAATATTGATTGAAAAATTCTTTCTGAAGTCTTCTATTATGGATAAAATCAATCAGTCGTATTATACATGTCCCGAAAATAAAAAGGATGGATATATAGGTAGACAACATGACTTATTATGTTTGATTCTATAACCGTTAGCATAATGGTCACTTTACTCTAAAAAATACCATATGAGTAGGTCGACACGGCCCAGGACAGAGTGGGTTGAAGAATGCTGGTCAGTGGCCTATGCTCCATTGGGAGTAACAGGTGAAAGTAAGTAATGTAAAGAGTAGATCGACTAGTTAAGTAAACAGAACACATATTTTCACCACGATGCTTTTATCAACACATCCAAATAACATAAGATACTATCTTGATAACCCATGAATTCATATTAAAATTTTCAGATTTAAATCAAATCATCAAAACATTTTCATAGGCATTCATCATGAGCAATGTTTTTTTTTGAATATTTCAGATGTATTATCAACCTACTTACGAGTAGTTAAATAAAAGTGTAAAATTATCGAAACCATCTTTGAATAAACTTGATTGTGGCCATCTATCAAGATAAGTATTCTCTTAAGGATAGAACATAGATAATAAAATGAAGGAAAGTGCAAACTTGGTAATAAATCTTATAATCTGGCATTACATAACTATGACTAAAATGTGCCAAAAATAATTTCCTGATGTTAAGATTCAGAAAAGTAAAACAAATCATTTCAATGATTTTGAAAACAGAGAAGTCTTCGAAAATTATATTAATGAAAGTAACATTCAATAAAGTTTTATCTCTAGTTTATCTTATCAGTCAAATATAATAACATTGGTGATTGTCCTTTTCAATACGACTGAAAACAAAGTTTATAACAGGCAATATTGAGTAGTCTAAAATTTGTTAAGAGACAGGTAATTTATCTCATCTAATGTTCAAATTATAACCAGTGTATATAATTTAACAAGACGTTTTTCCTCATGAAGAAAATTGTTTAGCTATTTAAGAATTTGAGTGAAAAGTTAGCTAAATTTTCAAGGATTACAAGTATTTGTGAATTCGTATCAGTATGGGGATTTGTGGAGTTTGCTGTATTTTCACAGTCGAATTTATGAGTCGATTTGAGCTAGATCACTGTTGAAAACTTGGAAGTACTGAACAATGGATGAAGGGTTATGCAGGATCATGGGTCGATTGATGTTAAACATTAACACCGTCGGATACTGGCCCAGTGATCTAGAGGTTGAGCGTTTGCGCGCGAGACCGAAGGTCCTGTGTTCATATCTTAAGTGAGGAATCGTGGTTGCTCACTGCTGAGGAGTCCTATATTAGGACGAAACGGCCGTCCAATTTTCCAACAGTTGTCTAACTAAGTTCGATTCGTGAATTCAACTGTGAATCTAGGGATTATTGAAGAAATGACATAATTAATTAATTCAGTAAAATTATCATCACTTTGGAATTCATGACTCATCTTCACATTGATACATCACATTTTCGGATTATCACCTATAAATCCAAATGTGATGGATAAAAATAATGTTTTTTAAGCAGAAATCAATAGTATTAATACTAATGAGAAATAGCAGAACAGGGAGAAACATTTTTCAGTAAGTTGTACTAGTTTTTTTATGTGACCTACAAGTCCACTTACATAATACTTATTAACCGGTGACTCCAGACTAACTATAATGCATTAGACAGGGGTTAAAATATTTTTAATTTTGTGTGTACAATTCAATCAAGTTTTTGACCTTTGAGGTTTCCGGTAATGGAAGTAGTTAGCAAAAATGTTGTGTGACCAGTGAAGGTAAGATATGAATGTCCAGAGGGCGATGACAAACAAGTACTAAGTTCATAGAATATCTTTATATCTAAAAGAGAGAGTTCATAATAATCATACCCAAACTTCATACTGCATGAATGTTCTCTATTTTGTTTCAATAAATTGTGGTTCATATCTAATCTCTGCTTCACGATCGTCTGTCGGACGTTATATATCTGCGCACAACTTTTTCTAGTTTGGTGATCTAATTATTTCGTATGTCGGTCGGTTACGCAGTCAAGTATAACCTTCTGTCATAAAACAGGCGGTAACACAAATTATTTTTGCTGTTATAATGATAGTAAATGAGTTTTACCCAGCTGATAACCCCTTCTGACCCTACATGTTCGGGAAAAATGGTAAGATCGTTTTTTTGTAGATGCAGCCTAATATTCATAGAATTTTGCTGATCCGTGAATAATTCTAGATTCATACATCAAGTGACTAAATAATAACAACAGGTCGTCATCCGGTGGTGGACATTTCCAGCTGTACTACTCAAGATACTGTTAGCTCAATTTTGTTTCATACTCTTGGTTTACAGACTTACTTCATAATAAAGAAGTTACGAAAAAATATAATGAGAGCTTAATTTGGCCGTCTCATCATTTGAACAGTAATCATGAGGAAGTAGTTCAGTTTACCTTTATTTTTCGATAATGCAATGAGAACACGAAGGTTATCATTATTTATTATCATGCACAGATACTGTTTTTTTGAACTTAGATCTTCTGTGAAATATTATGCTTTTTGAATGTAGGAAAGCATTTTGCAAGTAGTGAAAAAGAAAATTCAAACCTTGAAGACCCAAATAAAACATTCAATCAGTATTATTTAGTTATGTGAATACAAGTTCAAGCGTATTGTGTTTATACAATAAGAATTTGGATTAGAAACTTACAATAATTTTCCCATTTGCTTCTTTTGGTGGCTTCCAACTCACTAAAACTGAATCATCTGTTATGGTAACTGTTTCAACAGAATATGGAGCCGAACTAGGGGCTACAAACGGAATATAAAAGAAAAACCCGATAATAATTTGTAATACCGATTGAGTAATACAAAAATTTAGTACTGACATAGTACTATTTCTGTTAAAAATTGATTTACTAGCAAATGTATTTTGAAATTAAATGTGACTGAAATTATCTCTGTGTAGTGGCTTTGCTTCGTTAATCAATCACCTTTGTAACAGTTATTATATAAATTTCAACGGTGTTTGAAGTCAGAAGGCAATGAGAAGCGGTAATTACAGTTTATCAGAGGATAGCGCAGATCACAAAGCTATAGGCACATCAAACGTATTTGAAGCGAAGAGGCGAATATGTATATGCGGACAATTACATATGCAAATTTCTAGTCAAATTGCCAAAGGGCTCAGCAAGACAAAGCAAAAGGTGATAATAGGTTTTGAGTACGTACGTACATGGGGAGAAATATGAATCATCGAATGACATTTAAGCAATCAACATTTTAGCTAGAGTCTGTCATGTGATCTAGTAATCTAGTGATCGTAAAGTACAAATAGACGAATTGTTGCTGTTCTAATAACACTGTCTGTTATGTAAGTTAATAAAAGGGCTTAACCAAAATTAACAATAATCGAAATTGGTTGTAGAATAGTCGCTATACCTAAACCAAATCAAACATTTATTCTGAAGCGGTCAGTATCTAAGTTAGATGTATGATATGACGTTACGAAAGGGCAAAATTACATTTTTAGCTGACTGTGATGCATGTTCAACAGTACTTCCGTTTTTAATTCAATATGACGGTTACTCGATGTAATATTTGTTATATTTTTCCAGTATGGCATGTTTTTCAAGAAATGGTATTCTTTGTATTAAATTATAGTGAACCACCATGTTCAGAACTCCACCATGACCCCATCTAGGGCTACTACCGTTCCCAAGCCCGAATAAGGGAGGAGGGATGGGTATGGGATTAGCGACCCCATCCCTTAGAAAACCAACTTGCGAAAAAGAACGCAATATAGAAAAAAATAATAATGTTCAGCATGACATGCAGCGTACGATTTATTATAATTCTAGACATTTTTCATATACATACTCTCGGCGCCCAATTTTTGTCAAACTATTCCTTCTAATATTGACGAATATTCGCATAAATTTTTCATATACGTTAATTTTTCCTAATTAATAGTCAAAATGGTTGTACAATCAATGTATAAATCAGTGTATTTTTGACTAGGGTCATCATGTATAATTTGAAATCAATAAATGTTCACTTGTACCAGTCTTCTGAGTTCTTACTATATATCATGAGAATTGTATTGGTTGCTCATTCCAAGTATAAGTACTCAACAATGAGTATTAGTAATAAACGATTGACATATATTATTTTGAAAATAATCTAAGTTTTTTAAATGTCATTTAGTATGAGTTTAGTAGCATAAATTTATAGTTTTTAATATTACAGAATTTATAAAATATGAAAGCTATGATGGTGATGATGATGATGATGTAATCAGACACACCATTTTGGTGGTTTACAATTTTGAGAAGGGATAGAATGAAAGTTTTCTGTTCTAATGAAACTTGATCCTACTAATATTTTAATTGGTCAGTATTTTTAAGAACTAAAGTAAAATAAAGTAGTACTGTGGTGTATGCTACTTATATTGACATAAGTAGTATATTATGTTAGTCGTAAACAGAAGGTCTGGAAGCAGAGAGACAAGAGGATCGAACAGTAAAGAATGGAAACAGTATATAATTTGTATGAAAATGCAAGAACAATGAAGTCTGAGTCATTTTGGGACGATTGGTGTACATTTTGCAAACTAAGTATTTACTTTATGATTGTTAGATTTTATTAACAAGTCCTGTAATTTTGTGTTAAGTACATTCAATTGTCCCTACTGGTGTTCTGTTCACTACAGCGCGTAGTTTGATATTGATTTTTAATTCAATTTGAGTACTCGAAATAATGAATTTTGAGTTAAATGTCTAGTTTCTAGAGATAAATGATTACTAGTGAGAAATTAACCATTCAATTTAAACTCTGTTATAATCAATGTCAAAGAAATAAATGGAATTTGTAGACAACGAATCTGAATCGTGACTAGATTATTCTTGGTTACTTAAACACTATAGCAACAAACAAATAAGCATTTCAATAGTTGAGATCATGAGTCAATTGAAGCTTGACTATCATGAAAAACCTGAAAGCACTGGACAGCTGTTTCGTCCTATTGTGGGACTCTTCAGCAAACATTTTATAGTAATGCATAGAATATGAGTTTGAATTATTATCTGAATTTGTTATGTAAACCTTTTTTTCCATTACAAAATAACTAATCTCAATATTCACTTTCTATGAAAGATCTAAATGTTTCTTATTCATATTCTAAAGTTTGAGTTGATAAGAAAATGCATAGAATAGCTAGTTTGTATAATCTTTTTAAAAATACAAAAAAAAACGCATCCCTATTCAAATGAGTACTGCTTTGCTTATTTGAAAACAACAATGGATAGCTATTAGTAGGATTGTTATTTATTTTGTTTGTTTTCTGTTTTTCGTTTAAAATTAATCAAAGTTAATTTAGTTTGAAATACAAGGAAATTATACAATTACTCCTTTTTTGCTAACAAACTATAGCACGATAATTTCATCTTTATCAATAGATATTACTGAAGTAATATATATTAATTACTATTATTATTATCATTATTACTATTATGTAAATACGTTGTTATAGTAAGGAAAATAATAAGCACATAATAATACACACTTATACACCTATAAAAACACAATAAAATCACACAGTGTCGATTATCACGCTATTTTGATTTGAGTGAATCCTATTTTGAAATTACACGTTATTATTTCCGTTCTTTGTAATTTTTATACTTCAATTATAATTTCAATTACAATCACTGCTATTATTATTATTATTATTATTATTATTATTGTGTGAATGAAGTTTAATGAGTGATTTTAAGGCTATTTCCCATTATTGTAATCAAAAAATGGTGAAAAATTTCCAGTATTATTATCATCTTACCTTTTTGTATGTTGCTATCCCAAGTCAATCATACATTAATTTATCCACAACCAGTCTAGAAATGTATTCTATTACATATAAGTAATGACACCTCAACACATATATCCATTGACATATATATATATATATATATATATATATATATATATATATATATAATATATATATATATGGGCATACAAAACCACATTGTTTTTATATTTCTATCTATCTGCATATATTTTCCTTCATTTATTAGATTGTATGGTCCACATTGTATATAAGAATATATATATACAGGAGAGGAAGCATGAAATACAAGTTACCATTTCATTCCATTAAATTTCTATTCATAGTTCCTATATGAACATACACATAATCACATAGTTCTAATCACGTATTTAATACAATTTTCTTTGTTTTTCTTTGTGTTTTTTTTGTTCTTTCTTGTCATAATTTACAAGTTCAGACATACTTAAGAGTGAAGTAGTAAATTCCTTTCTTTATTCTTTTTTTTCCTTTCTTTACCTAAATGTTCTTATTATAACACTGATAGTATACATTTTGTTTTTAATTTCTATGAGCACTTTTTAATGAAAAGATACAAGTTTATATAAACCGGTAATAATTAAGTGTTATAATTACATTAATAACCGAGTATTATAAATGAATGTTATGTAAGTAGAAAAAAAACTTCTTAAGGTGTTAATAGGAAGATACAAATAATGAAATGTGTTCATCACTGACAACCATTAATAATAGTCATGTTTTAACATAAAATGGTTCAAGTTGGAAATGTGGACTAATCAATTCCTCTTCACTGATTGAGTTGTCAAAGATGAATCATAATAATTTGAAGTTTTATTTAGATGTCTGTTGATTGATTAATCGTAAGGATTTTCAAAGTTTCCCAGGTTTTAGTGATTTACTAATTGAATGTATTCTGAAAATTGAATGAATTCCTATAGCTAAGCAACTAAGTTAAAAAATGAAATGATTTTATACCACAGATTTTATTCAGGTTTAAATGGTGTTGTTGGGATATTCAGGAAAAATATCCCAAAAATTATCCTGTTAAGTCTAATGCTATCCTTAGCCTTGGAATGGTATCATTTTCCTATTGGTCAATATTTATTTCACGTGTCATTTTCCTGTTGGCCAAATATTGTACAAATGTTATTTTCTATTTTATGGTACGTTGTGGTCTGTTCGATTGGTATATAAACTCAGTATGTTTGAAATATAAGGATTCATATTACAGAGGCTGAGACTGTTGTTCTGGACTTAACTGGCTGGGCTAGGCGGAAAGCAGGACCAATCAGAACTCTGGGTTGCTCATACGGTTTACGCGTCATTGTCCCGATCGATAAGTCACTGTTCTCTAATCGGCGGTCAGAAGTTATAACAGGTGTATACATACAAGTTAAGCATTATGAATTATATTTATACTTTCAGTTGTTTCAATACTGATTTGTAAGAATCTTAGAAAATATAAATTAAAATATAGATAATTAGCGTATCTGAACAGAATTAATAGTAATTTATTGAACAGTACATTATGAGATTGAAAATTAATCTAAATAAATTATTCACTTGTAAGAAAAAAATGGAGACATGATATTGATTTTAACTCCTTGAGATGTATTTCAATTGCATTTCGAATAGTTAGAAAGAAACACATTTACGTAAATCAATGCCTTATATTGAATGTTCAATATAATCAATTAATGTCGTTTTTAAGTATTAACATATCACTAATTAACTGTATTTATGTACATTACATAATACTTGGTAAAAGTTTTATTCCATGCTTAAATAGTAGGTTTTGACTTGGTATCAGATATTGATTTTTGAAAGAAAAATACTCATTGCAATCAGTACTTAAAATAAAAATACACTCTGTTAGATCTAAATCAATCAAAATTTGTACTAAAAGATGCTTTAAATTACTGAGTGAAACGATGGTTGGTAAACCTGGAAAACTACTGATTATATT